GCGCCAATAACAGATACATTCATGATATATTGTTATTTTTAGAATTCATAAATGTCAGCTAATATGCATCATAAAATATGGTTATCATGATCTCGATGACCCTTCTGTATTCCACAGAGTTCTGGAGTTCCCACTTAAATGTTCGGGGTCCTCGCAATGAACCTCCTGCCACTGACAAACTCTTGCCTCCAACTCCAAGCCCACAAGACTGCTCAAAAAAAAAAGGGGCCAAAGTTTTTTAATGGGAAAAAAATTAATACTTTTATTAGCAAGAATTCAATAAACTGATCAAAAGTGACAGTAAAGGCATAATGTTACAAAATATTCCTATTTCAAATCAGTGCTGTCCTTTTGAACATTCTATTCATCAAAGAATTCAAAAATGTAATATGGTTCTTTTCAACCTTGATAATTAGAAATAATGATTTCTGACGTATCTTGTGACACTGAAGACCAGAGTAATGATGCTGAAAATTCAGCTTTGCATCACAGGAATAAATGACTTTTTATTTAAATTATATTCAAATAGAAAACAGTTCTTTTAAATTGTATGTGTGTGTGTGCCAATAACAGATACATTCATGATATATTGTTATTTTTAGAATTCATAAATGTCAGCTAATATGCATCATAAAATATGGTTATCATGATCTCGATGACCCTTCTGTATTCCACAGAGTTCTGGAGTTCCCACTTAAATGTTCGGGGTCCTCGCAATGAACCTCCTGCCACTGACAAACTCTTGCCTCCAACTCCAAGCCCACAAGACTGCTCAACGCCCATCAACCCAAACCCCACCCCGTTCCAGGAGCTTTGTCCAATCCAAACACGGAGTCCCTGCGAGCTAGATTACGGGGGAGGCAAAGGTTTATGTTTTGTCAACCCTCTTTTCCTACAAGACTACCCAGATCGCAACGCCATGCGCAGGCGTCATCATTTCAAAACCAGTGTGAAGGTTCGTGTCTCCACTGAAAATTCCAGCCCCTTGTCGCCCCCTGTCCTCCCACCACCTCCACCGCCGTTACTGGCTAAAGCCAAATGCAAAGCCAGATTGAAAGCTGCAAAGCAGATGACCCCACCTGTTGAAGTTCAGGCCAGTGAGGAAGCTATCAAGAAGACTGTGGAGGAAGCCACAGACTATATGCAACCTTGTGTAGTGTCACAGAAGAAAGCCAAGGTCACCTCTACTCTTTCTCCCACTGCTGAAGAAGACTATCAGATGCCTATAGCTCTTCAGAAGGTACTGAACCTTTTCAGAGCTGATTTTATGGGACATTTTAGTTTCATTTCTGAATTTTGAATGACTGCCTCTTTGCTTTTTTAGGCCCAGCTGAAAATCCTGGAGCAGAAAGGACAGGAAGAAGATGAGGAGGAGGAGGAGGAGGAGGAGGAGGAAGGGCTTGTGTTAGAACAACGACATGCTCCGTCTCTCAGTGAGCTGGACAGCAGCAGTTCCCTCAGCAGCCTCGACGAGGCGGAGGAGAGTCCTGAACGTCCTCCCCTCGTACGAGGCACTAGCAACCCCGTCATGCCGCCTCCAAGGAAGTCCATGTCCGCCCTGCGCAAAATGAGCGCCGCCTTCATATCCTTTTTTGCCCCTGAGAAGCGAGTGGCGCGGATGGTGGAGGACCTGTCTCGTGACCGTCGCATGGCGTTTGGTGCACTGGTTCAGGACTTCCTGAGGCAGCAGAGAGAGGCGCTGAAGCCACATTGCTTGACCTCTGCTGTACAGCTGCTGCAGGATTTGCGTTTCTTCATCAATCAGGCCAAAGCATTCCTTCTGGAGTGTGGAGAGCTGGAACCTCCGATAGAAACTCTTCTGACTGAGAATGAGAAAGGTATTTAAGTCAGTGTGATTTGACCTAATAATGTTGTTGGTATTATTTACACACTTAAATGTTGCAATACAACCATATTTTCCTGTGTGCAGACCACGCGCTGGAAAAGGCCATGTTCCGCTGTGTGCTAAAGCCTCTGAAGCCTCAGATTGATGCGGCTCTTCGGACCCTGCACAAACAAGATGGTTCCTTCCAGAGAATGATGGACAGTTTGCAAAGAGCCAAAGGAGCCTCACCGCAGAAGCTCTTTGGGGTTCAGGTGGGCGTTCCCGACGCCCCGGGCATTGAGAAAATTAAGCACAAGCTGACTCTAATGCAGCGGGCGTACTCACCCATTGACAAAGTGCTACTGCTCTTGCAGATCTGCAAACTCATTTACAAAGCCATGAAAAACAAATCAGGTAAGAGGTTTTGGAATTACACACATGTAGATTTATTTTTGCACATACAATACCATTCAAAAATCTCTTATGCTCATGTATCAAAAATACAGTTAAACAATAAAATTATGTGAAATATTATTACCATTTCTTTCAGTTTAATATATTTTAAAATGTAATTTATTCCTGCGATGCAAAGCTGAATTTTCAGCAGCCATTACTTCATTCTTCAGTGTTATGTGATCCTTCAGAAATCATTTAGATTTTGTGCTCAAGAAACATTTCTTATTATTATCAATGTGAAAAACAGTTGTGCTGCTTAATATTCTTTGATGAAAAGAAAGTTCAAAAGAAATACATTTATTTGAAATAGAAATCTTTGTAACAATGTCTTTAATGTCACTTTTGATTAATTTAAATCATCTTTGCTGAATAAAATTATTAATTTCTTTTAAAAATAAAAAACCTTACTGATATAACCAGTAAATAGTAAGATATAACTAGTATTGATGCACAATAAAATTGGTACCATATTGATTATTGGCTGATTTATCATATTGGTCAATATTGAATTGTACATGCTCATTTCCCATATTTTTATACTTAGATCACCTTAGCCATCATCTAACGTTTATCTATATTCTTAAAAACAGGGCAGGAATTTGGAGCAGATGACTTCCTGCCTGCTCTCTCCTATGTGATGGTGCTGTGCAATATGCCAGAGATCTCTCTGGAGGTGGAGTATATGATGGAGCTTTTGGAAAGCTCTTGGCTTACAGGAGAAGGTACGGATGAAAAGAGCTCCACAAACACTGCTTTCAGATATCCTTCTGAATTTTGAGCTCCACATCTAATCAATACATGAATACATGCCTAACTTCTATATTTTTTTACATTTGGTAAACTTACCCAACTCTTACCCAAACTCAAGTTTTCATTCTGTAAATAACTGTTGTTGTTATTATTATTAATTCTCTTGAAGGGGGTTACTATCTGACAAGCGTCTATGCCAGTTTGAGTCTGATTCTGAGTCAGCCGGAGGATGTGCCACCCAACGGCCTTACAAACCAGGCCAGAGAGTCTCTGAAAGAATGGAGCCGGCGTCGGAGCAACGAAACCACAAGTCCGAAAGACAACAAATTGCACCAGGTCAGATACACTGGTTGAACAAAGCACATCTACTCTATCTGAACTGTGCAAGTATAGTCCAAAAAAACAAGTTTTGTTTCTGTGCTTACAGAGGTTTATAAAGGTGCTGTTTCAAGATGGCGACACTAGCTTGGTAAAAACTCTCATGTGGAAGACTGCGCTCAACGGTGAGGCTATGGCTCAGCTCTGTGCTGTGAAGTTTGGAGTGGACCGGCCAGAGGATTACAGCCTGTACTGGAGGAGAGATGGGGTGTTAACACCTCTCCCGCCTAACGCCCAGATTCAAGACCTGCAGAGCATGGGCGTGAGTGGGGCTCCCCTTATTTACCAGGCGTCCGGTCAGGATGAAAGGTCCCAGAAGCTGAATAGAGGGAGTGCGGTGGATCTAACAGAGGCGGCTTCATAATATGGGATATTTTCGGATGTCACATGTAGGTCAAAGCAATTCTGCATTTTATACAACATGCCTGATTTCTCACAGAAAGGCTGATGAAATATTAATAATAATATGCTCATAATGGTAACCATTTATTTAATGTTGACTGTAAGATAAGATTACACCTCTTAAAAATAAAGGTTGTTTTTTGACATCTGTGGTTCCATGAAGAAACATTAACATCCATGGAACCTTTCCATTACACAATATGTTCTTCATAGTAAAAAGGTTCTTTAGATTTTTTTTTTTAACCAAACATTCTTCTATGGCATTGGAACCTTTATTTTTAAGATTGTAGATCAACCTGTTTAGTGTCCATTACTGCTAATCACTGATTGTGTTTAGCTGGTGTGTGATATTTCATTGGGCTAAATTATTAAGCAATTGTTTGTGTATTATGTTTAATCTTCTTATAGGTTGGTTATTAATGACTGGTTTCATTACTCCAACTCTCAGTTCTCCGTAATTAACCAATTATTATGAGATGGTCAGTATTGAGAGATTGGATTTTTTTCTTATTGTTCATCTTGTATCATGGTAATATTTATATGAAATGCATTGGACAAATGTTTTGGTATTCTGAAAGTAAAAGACAATAAAATACCTTCAGAAATAATTGGTTTTATTTGGTAGAGACTGTTGGTTTTCACCACCCACACTGAACACTGACAACATGTTTTGAGAAACAAAAAATCCTTTAAACCAGTGAAGAATTTATATTCTCGAGAACGAATTCTCCTAGATACCAGTGAATCAGCAGATGAACTCTAGACTGGATATGATCTAAAAGTAGCAACAAGTATGTTTCCATTTTAAAGTAAGTTGAGAAAGTGTGTTACGTGTTGTGATTACATAAGTCCCACCCTCACACAGCAAGTTCACTCTTGTCAGCGCTTCCACATGCCTATGTGGGAAGTGTGGGCTGCGGTCTGATTCGAAGTAGGAACTGAAATTTCTAATTCAAACTAATCAGAGTTGCCTTTGTTTAGAAGTGAATAGACCAAATAGAAAGAAGATCAGTGGGAAAGGTAAAATACTGGGTGTTACATTTGTGTGTGCGGTTCTTCCTTCCTCCTACATGTGAATGGTTTTATAATCATTACCAGTCCCTTCCATGTGCACTCTTCAGCCTTTTGTTCATTTCTGAAAGTTGCTGTGGCTCAGTGTGGTCTAATACTTGTCTGAGAGGATGTCTCCCACAGCACTGTGTCGTCTCAGCACCAGCAGGACGAGTCCGTGCAGGTCATTTGCAGCAGCTGGGCCTCAACCTCCTCGGCATTGTCTGGGAAGCGTTCGACGAAGGACTGGATGAGCCCTGCAGCACTGCCTTCATACTCAACCAGCTCCACAGCGTCACCTACAACATAAACAGCAGCACATTATTCCTCTTATGCATATGTGTTGCTGTGTTACTATGACTCTGATCATATGAGAATGGTCATTTTTTGGTACATGGCTATGAAAGGAGACCGAACACGAACCTTTGATATAGGTGTTAGCCTGGACAAACATCTTGCGAGCTTCCTTACGGAGCAGAACCGTCTCTCTGAGGTGTAGGAAATTGTGGGTCCCGTCAGCAGTCACGGCAGAATAGCCTTCATACAGAGCCCTTCCTCTCTCCACGTCAGCTGTGGACTTGTGCACCTTTACAAAAAGAAAATGATCAAACCAAAATACAAACTCATTTGGTATTGCTGAACAGAACCATGGCTATTTGCAGAAGCACTGAACCTCATTTCCGTACCCTCAGAGTTAAAAAAATAAAAAGGTAACGATGAGATAAACTTAAATCTCTTAAAATCGTCATATTTATATTTTAATATATATCATATCTCAAAATTCACAATTATGAGGAATAAAGTAGCACTGTGATATAAAGTCACACTATGTAAAAGTTTATTACTTAATAAACTAAGATAAACCCTAACTGAAATAAAAACAAATACAATTATTTTAGATATTTGCCAAGTTAACATTTCTCATTTTCATTTAGTTTCACTTGAAGGACTAAAATCACTAAAACAGAAATAAAAATGAATAATAACAATAATAATAATAATAATAATAAAAAACAACTATATAAACATATAAAAAAAACTAATATAAATGACAAAAAATTACTAAAATGAAAACGGAAATTATGAAAATTATCAAAATATTAATAAAAATTAGGGCTGTCAAACAATTAACCGCATCCAAAATAAAAGTTTTTGTTTACATAATATATGTGTGTGCACTGTGTATATTTATTATGTATATATAAAAGCATGTATATATTTTAAGAAAAATATGTTGTTTATATATATATAATATATTTATATATAATATATAATACAATAATATAAATGTACATACATGTAAATATTTTCAAAATATATACTGTGTGTGTATTTATATATACATAATAAATAAACAGCACACACACATATGTAAACAAAAAATCGTTTGACATCACTAATAAAAACTAAAATAATATATTAATTATACTTCAATAGCACTGATATAAAGTCACATTATTGTATAATTATTATATTTTCATAACAGGAGGCTAGTGTATGTGGTGCAGATTTAAGTTAAAAAAAAACTAGAGTTCCATTTGAACCCAGTTAGCAGGCTTGTACCTGCAGTTTACAGAGGAACCTCTGGATGGCGCTCTTGCCCACTGTGTATATCTTGCTGCGGTCGAGTGTTATGACAGCATCTGGCCGTCCATCTGCCCCTGTACACTCCCTTAGACCAACCAGTCCCTCTCCGGCCTCCAGCAGAACCCGCAAAATCACAAACCGGGCCTGCATGTGTGCCTACGAAGGCGAGACATCCAGGATAGCGTTAAGACTTGCAGACAATCAAGAGAAACAGTAATGATTTCAGGGCATTCACACAATCTCACCTGTCTCCAGCTCTTGCTCTCTGGCGTGTAGAACTCCAGCCCCAGCAGACCGGCACGCACCATGTTCAGCCAGTTCACGTATACTACCTCCTCTGCATCCTCTCCTTCATGCCCGAAAATACTGCGGCACACACACATTCCTCAGCATCCATATCTCAGCAATTCCAGCTGAGTGAATTCATGCAGAAGTGACTAAATGTTCAGTGACTCACCTGAGCACCTGTTTGTTGAGACACAGGTAGAGACCTACACACTCAGCTCGACACTCCTCATAGGACGAGGCAATGGTGGAGAACTTGCTGTCCCATGTCTCGCTACCCTTGTACCAGCTCGAGATCTAAAATCCAAAATGTAAATTTCATGACTGTGATTTGCGATGCACAGTTTATAAAGAGCATAAAACACAGTGGAATCCACTAATGAATGTGATGAAAAGCTTTTTAAAAAAAAAAAAACACTCACCAGTTCTCCTGTTTCTGGATTACGAACAGCAGTTTGATCAAAGTTGTATTTTCCCTTATCATCCTGTTTCAAAACAAACACATAAGATGAAGAAACTGTGAGACATTTGTATTCATGAAATATTCTGGGTCAATGCAACTATGTTCTATTGAGAGTTTTCAGTGTCAAATTCAACTCAAATAGCAGACACACTGCTAAAAGACTATTTAGGCAACTTCATAGCTCAAATAACACTCCTGTCTGTACAGAAGAATTAGTGTTTCAACAACAACAAAAAAACAGTAGCATTCAAAAGTTTGGGGTCTGACTGGTTTTGAAAGAACTCTTTAATGCTCACTAAGGCTGCATTGATTGAATCAAAAATACAGTAAAAATATTGTGAAATTTTATTACAATTTAAAATAACTTTATATTTAACTCAATATATTTACAAATATAATTATTCCCGTGCTGGCAAAGCGGAATTTTCAGCAGCCACTGCTCCAGTCTTCAGTGTCACATGATCCTTCAGAAATCATTCTAATATGCTAATTTGGTGGTCAGGAAACATTTTATTTTCATCAAATTTGAAAACAGCTGTGTTGCCTAATATTTTTGAGGACACCGATGCATTTCTTTAGGATTTTTTGATGACTAGACCGTTTAAAAAAGCAGCATTTATTTAAAATTGAAACTTTAAAGACATTATAAATGTCTTTACTGTCAGTTTTGATCAACATAATGTCTTTGGTGAATAAACAAAACAAAAAAAAAAATGTACTGATCCCTAACTTTCCTTTTTAGCACATGTAGTCACATATATACAGCAATATGTTGATCTGCCTGTGCTTTGCTACCTGTACAAAGAGCTTCCCGCTGCCATGACCCAGCAGCTCATGGAGTCCCACCTGCACCTCAAAAGAAGGACCCTTCCATTTGATGTACAGGTCCTACAGGAATAAGCCACAGAGGAAGAGATCTAAGACTCTGAGCCTCCATTACAACATGTTTGATTCATTAGAATTTCACAGACAGCAGTCATCCGTCTTACTTTGTCGTTCTCCTCAAGAAAGGTGAGCTTGTCTTTCTGTGTGGCATATGCAACTGCCAGCACATTCCCAAGAGAGACGTTCTTGAAACCTTCTGTCTGTCTGATGTCGTCATCTACAGACCGATAAATGGTTGAACATTCATCAATAAGACCTGACTGCACATGGAAAAAAATCATGTTGGATAAGAGGGCTTACAGTTTGGAATGTTGATTCCAGCAGGGATGCCGCTGCCGGCGAAGGTGAGTACGTCCAGGGAGATGAAGTCTGGGTGCTTTGCTACCTGTACAAAGAGCTTCCCGCTGCCATGACCCAGCAGCTCGTGAAGTCCCACCTGCACCTCAAAAGAAGGACCCTTCCATTTGATGTACAGGTCCTACAGGAATAAGCCACAGAGGAAGAGATCTAAGACTCTGAGCCTCCATTACAACATGTTTGATTCATTAGAATTTCACAGACAGCAGTCATCCGTCTTACTTTGTCGTTCTCCTCAAGAAAGGTGAGCTTGTCTTTCTGTGTGGCATATGCAACTGCCAGCACATTCCCAAGAGAGACGTTCTTGAAACCTTCTGTCTGTCTGATGTCGTCATCTACAGACCGATAAATGGTTGAACATTCATCAATAAGACCTGACTGCACATGGAAAAAAACCGTGTTGGATAAGAGGGCTTACAGTTTGGAATGTTGATTCCTGCAGGGATGCCGCTGCCGGCGAAGGTGAGTACGTCCAGAGAGGTGAAGTCTGGCTTGAGGAAGCGGTCCTTCTCAAAGGCTGGAGGCCAAGGCAGCTCTGGTAGTAAGACTTCGGCCGAGCTCACCAACTGAGCAAAGCGAGCGCTCATGGCCTTGTTCACCACGGCAACAAAACCTGATGGATGAGACGGTAAGTGTGGAGGAGAGAGAGACATAGTGGTCGTAATTGGGTATCTACAAGAGTTCCTGGGTTGTTTTAAGCATAGTCAGTGTCATTTCCTGTTTTACACCACAGTTCAAAAGTTTGGGGTCGGTTTTTGAAAGAATTCTGTTATGTTCACCAAGGCTGCATTTGTTTGTTAAAAAAATACAGTTTAAACATTAATGATGTGAAATATTTCAATTTATAATAATAGTTTTCTATTTTAATATATTTTAAAATGCCATTTATTCCTGTGATGGCAAAGTTCAATTTCCAGAAGCCATTACTCCAGTTTTCAGTGTCACATGTAGCGTCTGGACCATTCAGACACACAATATAGTTTTGTTAGTTATATTTAACAAATACTCCGTAACACCCCTCAGTTAACAAGCCATATGAGGGCCTGTGGACCCTTCCCCCGAAATGCGTCTTAACACCTCAGGAAGGCAGAATAGGCCTCTGATTCCATGGCAACCAATGCTGATCTAAATATTTATAATTAATTATAACTAGTTATGATTAATTATTCATATTTCCCCTTTGAGCTGATTCGCTACACACATGATCCTTCAGAAATCATTCTAAATATGGGTCACATTTACCGTTTCTTGTTACTATCAAATAGAAAACAGTTGTGCTGCTTCATATTTTTGTGGAAACCGTGATACTTTTTTAAAGATTTTTTTTAACATTATACACTAATGATCAATGTAATGTGCCATTGCTAAATAAAATTATATATAAAAAAAAATACTGATCCCAAACTTTTAACCAGTAGGGTTTTATTCATGTTGGTCACAAAGATTTTGAGGTAATAATAATAATAATAATAATAATAATAATAATAATAATAATAATAATAATAATAATAATAATAATAATAAACAAAGATTTTGAGGTAATAATAATAATAATAATAATAATAATAAATAAATAATAAATGATTGTCAAACTAATTAAGATTTTCTTTCAAGAAATTAATTCTTTTAATTAGCCTTTTTTTTAATAATATCATTTTATGTCTGCCAAAAAATGTATGTCTTTTTTTCCCCCCCAGAAATTAAAAAAATGAATCATAGAAGAGGTGTTCAAGCCATCCTCCTGTATGTTTGTACTGCATAATGCATTTTTAAATAAATCTGGGCAAAACAATAAGCATCATTTTGTTGACCCACAAATATTTGAGCTCACCTTCAAATTCCCCCCTTGAGCCAAATGGATCTCTGTAGCTCTCAATAAAACCAATGTAACTGTTGAAAAAAAAATGAACAACAACAACAACAAGGTTTTAAAAAGAATGAGCAAGCATAGTATAAATAAGCATAGTTCAACAACGAAACAAAGCTTCTAGGCTTATGTCAACAGCCTGGTCTATTAAATATGGGTCAGTCACCTCTCCACAATAGGTCCTTTGTCTTTTATCCAATAGCGGGACCCTTCTTTATGGGCTTCCACTGAGCCACAGGTGAAACTGCGGGTATACTCCTCCAGCATCCTCTTCTGGTTCTCATTGGCTGCATAATCCTAAGACAAAAAAACCTTTACTGATGCTTTAAAAGGTCATGCTATTCATTTCACATCCAAAAGTACCAATGAATCAGTGTTTTTTTTTTAGGTTGAACATTGCCATACCTTGGCTTTTTCCAAGTTCTGACACACTTTCTCCATAAGAAAGGCATAATCGCCTCTCTTAACAGAGAACACAGAATCCTCAAATTCATATTTGCCACAACAAACTTCACTCTTTCCCTCAACAGCACAGTCTGCAGATGGGAGGGAAATACCGGCAATGAGAAAACAGTCAAGAGAAGGAAAAAAACAAATGAAAAGTGATTTATATCAAACTGGATTTAAGCTGCTCTGTATACTCACCCTTCTCGGCAGATGCCAGACGCACCTCATAGCACCGCTTCCCATCTATTTCAGTCTTGAACAGACGGGTGTTGTAGGCACTCAGGTTCTACAAGGATGATTATTATTGGTAAACTAGTAGATTTGTGCAGAAATAGCTGCTGTCAGTAAAGGATACAACAAGATCATGGGTTCGATTTCCAGGGAAAGCAAGAACTGATTAAATGTGTACCTTGAATGCAATGCAAGTCTCTTTGGATAAAAGTGTCTACCAAAATGCACAAATGTAAACGAATGAATAAGCTACAATATTGTTCAACTGGTTAAAATTAATGCATTAGCTAACATGAACAATAATGTTACAATACTTTTACAGTATTTATTAACCTAGACTAATGTTCATTTATTAACACTTAATTCATATTTGTTCATAGTACTTATGTTCATTTATACGACCTGAAATGTTAAAACACATATTAGTATATTTAGAAATTAACCTAGATTAATAAATGCTCTTGATGTATTCTTTATTGTTAGCTCAGAACATGGATTCATTAATGCTAACAAAATTAACGTTATTGTAAACTGTTATTGACATTTCTTCCAAAATTATTAATTAATTTTATGCACTTGGCAGATGCTTTTATTTAAAAGGTATTCACTGTTTGACATTTTCCCAATACGTGTGTTCCCTGGGATCAAAATACATGATAAAAAAAAAGTAAAAAAATAAAAATAAATAAATTATATATATATATCAAATTCTGTCAATGATAACAAAAGCAGGAATTTAATAAAAATATTTACATATATTTATATAAAAAGTGTATATATCTTACTTCTTAAATGTATATACAGTGGGTACGGAAAGTATTCAGACCCCCTTAAATTTTTCACTCTTTGTTATATTGCAGCCATTTGCTAAAATCATTTAAGTTAATTTTTTTTCCTCATTAATGTACACTCAGCACCCCACATTGACAGAAAAACACAGAATTGTTGACATCTTTGCAGATTTATTAAAAAAGAAAAACTGAAAAATGCTCAGTATTTAGTAGAAGCACCCTCTTGATCTAATACAGCCATGAGTCTTTTTGGGAAAGATGCAACAAGTTTTTCACACATGGATTTGGGGATCCTCTGCCATTCCTCCTTGCAGTCAATATGGGGTGCTGTGTGTACATTAATGAGGAAAAAAAATTAACTTAAATGATTTTAGCAAATGGCTGCAATATAACAAAGAGTGAAAAATTTAAGGGGGTCTGAATACTTTCCGTACCCACTGTATATTACTATGTATCTTTATGTTAATACTTCATATAACATTTAATTTATGTGGTAATAATAGGCGCAAATAATTTGCCTCAATGATTTTTTGTATTCGAGTTACTCGAGGTATTCTAGGAATCGTTTCAGCCCTAATAACAGGGGTGTAACAATATGCTCACGTCACAATTTTTTCAATACACAAGACTGTAGTGTTGGGTCGTTCTTGAACGAATCTTTAATGTGACTCGGGAAGATCGAGTCGTCTCGGGGAGTGATTCGTTCAGTCGCGCATGCGCAACATCCTATAGGTTCTGTACTGGAATTAGTCTTTCATATTACTTCAATGAACTAGCCGGATCTCTCACATGTGCACTATACCTTGGAGTCCAGAAATTTCTGGGCAAACTCTGCGTCTTCTAAGCAGCAGTTCCCTGAGAAGTACGCCGAGATCCCCTAGGAGAAAGGCATTATTAGGTAAAACACCATACCAAGTCAGATTGTATGATATTTTAAATGTATTTTACCTTCTCACCCAGACCGAGCTGTTTCTGCTTGTCTTCTAGGGAGTAGAGGAGCTCACAGCAGCAGCCCCACAGTGTCTCCATGTCGCCAGGGCTCTGTTTAAAGGCCAGACTCTCCCACACCAGAGCCTTGAACTTCTCCTGCATATTAAAATAGGCAGAATTATCAAACACTACAACTTATATTATTACATAAAATTCTGATAGAGCACAAATGGGGCATATTAAGTAGGGTATTTGACCTTTGGTAGGTTGGGGATGAATTTGGTGTCCCCAAATGACTTGTAGTTCCCCATGTTTGCATAAAGTCCAGCAGCATATACGAGGAAGGCCTGGAAACAGACAGAATGTTGTTACGAAAAATGAACACAGAACGCATGTTAGCTAACTTTGGTGTTCGTAACAGGTTGTTTCACCTGATACTCCTCTGCGCTCAGTCCAGCAGCAGTTGCCACTGCCTCCAGCTGCTGTGGCGCCTGTGCGTGGAACATTTTCTGCAACAGTACGTAGATGTTGGCAGACTCAGGAGAGGTCTGGATCAGCACGATCAGTCCACCGTACCAGGACGCCCGAGAGAGGTAGTGTGCATACATTTGCTCTTTGGGAGACAACAGCCTGAAAGCCTCCCGGCAGTCCAGAGCAGAGATCCCGATGTCATTTGGGAGGTAATACTGAGAGTCCACCATTTCAGTCTTTAGGCAGCTTGATCCCTCTCCACTGAAAATTCACAAAAACATAAGTCATTGATTAAATATCTTACTATGCAAAAGCACAAAATCACCTGGTTATTATTTGGGGATTCACATCACAGCTTCACATCTGAACTTCTCTCTACGCACACATAGCTAATACAATCCAATAGTTATACAGTAAGATGTAAAAATGCAAACACACAAAGTCAGAAGTTTGGATTTTTGCTGAAAGGTCAATCAGCACTGACAAAGAGAGTTTCTCTTTCACTTCTGGGACTTTACTGATCAGCTAATACTGTTAGCACACTTGATAGAGCAGGAAATCAGACAATGAAATCCCGCAAATCTGTGCCATGCATAACATATGCGATAATTCACTATATAATTATCTTATCATCTATAATAGCCAACGTACGGTTTCTCTTTAAGCAATATATAATATCCAAGAGATTAACAACAACACGTAACACAACTTCTACCTGAATTATGCGTTCAGGTTCACTCCTGTCAAAAAAATTAGCACCAGCGTCCGACTCTACTTCCGCTACTCATTCAATTGAATGACCCGCCCCTCAGCCAATCAGATGACGGAAAAGATAATTGACAGGCGTGAGAACCAATAGGAACAGCGGGTGAAAAGATTTCGCGTCGTAGGGATTGCAAATGAAATAATAGTTTTGTCAAAAGCAGCTTTAGGAGGGATTTTTTTATGTGTGTGTAAAAATATTAACATATATGTTTAATATAAAAAAAGAAAGCATCGATATAGATGATTTCTGGCATTAGTGGACTGGAATCTTAGCTAATGTTGTTGAAATGAACGTGTATTGTTTATCAGTTAAAGGGGTCATATGATGCTGCTAAAAAGAACATTATTTTGTGTATTTGGTGTAATGAAATGTGTTTATGCGGTTTAAAGTTAAAAAAACACATTATTTTCCACATACGGTACATTATTGTTTCTCCTCTAAGCCCCGCCTTTCTGAAACGCGTCGATTTTTACAAAGCTCATCGGTCTGAAAAAGCGAGGTATGCTGTGATTGGCCAGCTATCCAATGCGTTGTGATTGGCCGAATACCTCAAGCGTGAGACGGAAATGTTACGCCAATGATTCCTAATTGCATCTACTTCCGGAAGGCCAAATAAAGTGCTTTTGCTTTCGCACTGAAACACAGCGTCTCCCTGACATGGCTGCATCAACACTACTGCTGTTCCTGAAACCACGCCTTCTTTCTTTGCGTGCACATTTGGGCGGTGTTATGCAAATCTTCGCACATCGTGACGTAGACATGTGGGGTGTGTTAGAACGAGCCGTTTTAGGTAGGCTGACTCTTAACTTTTATAAAGAATATCTCTTTGGATTTGAGACTTTAGTCTTTGCAACTTTACAGATCTTTTTTATGCACCAAGAGCTTGTAACACTCCAAAGAGAAAGGAAAAATTGAAATCGCATCATATGACCCCTTTAAGTACTTAAGTGGAATTCGTTTCCCAGCACTCTAAACTTTCTGTCAACAGGAAATTGTCTATCGGCATGGTCTGAACGGCATCGCGACCACCCAGGATCATTTATCTGTTGTGCTGTGGTGGTTTTCTGACAGTCACACTGGCAGATGAGAATAGTTGGCCATGCATACATTTAGGTGTGAAATAATGAAGGTGAAACAGCCCAGCCCAAAGAGATTAAATAAACTAGAATAAAGGTTAAATCAATTAAAAAAACAAGTCAATCAGTCAGTCAATTTATCTTTTAAACCTTGAAAACTACTTCACTACATTGAGGTAAGTAACTTAATTAATGATAAACAAGTAGTAGGCTTTTTTTTTTTTTTTTAACAAGTAGTAAATACTTCAAGAAATTCCATTTCTGGAATTCAATTTCTGTTCACTATTCTAATAGTATTTTATCATAAAAACTGAGCATAACCCCCGAACATTAAAATCAGCTCAGTGTTTATTCCAGTCGTGGGAGACTGGCACACTGCTGAAGGGTGGGAATGGTAATCAATGTGGAGTCAGGGCATCAAGATGATCCAAGTGGCGCCAGATGAGAAGATAGTAACCTCTTGTTCAGATGTCTGAATGGGTCAAGCACCTTCTCATGAACCGTCATTGGCTGCATTATACTGGCCTCAGCTTTTCTCTTTTCTTTGTTGGCTGATAGAGGTGTAATGCCAAATGCACAACTTTTAATAAAATGTAATATAGTATGTATAATAAATGAAAGAAAATAATATATTTTTCTGTTTATTGAGATAATGTAGATGTCCCTTAAGTAAAAGGTGAGTAAAAGGTGGTGGTGTTGTGTAAAAAAACAATACAAGACAAAAATAATTGGTTAGCATAATTTACATGCATATATATTTAATAAGTAGTCTGACCAGCATGCTTTATCTCAGTTAACAAAGATGTGGTTTAGAGCAAGCCAATCACAGAAAATAAATGTCAATAAATCACATACATGCAACAGGTCACTGGGATGGCACAATTGCCTGTATGTTCATTCTCCTTACTAGAGGAGAAGGAAATTGGAACAATTCAGACACCATTTTGCACAAATTATTCCTTTTAGTTTTTTACATTAGACTGGAATTTCTTTACAGATGACCGTGATTCTACCTTGGTTCTATGCCACCCAATATTTTCTTTGACCAAAAATGGATCCGTGTATCTGCATTTCAGAGATAAAGTGAAGTGGGACCGACATGAAAATGAAGATCTCCTCTGCAGTGATACCACCTATGTAATGTATCCTTACAGATATGTTTGGGCATTGAACAATGGACTACTATTACAAACCTAGGCTCAAACATGCTTTTCAGCGATCCATGTGGAGAATGGGTAATTCTAAGGTAATGTTTCAAGCATTTCGAGGCATCAGATTTGTTAGTTTTTACATTGTACTACAATGTGTCATATTTGTTGTATTGATGGTAGTTAGATATGTTTTGAAGAATGTTAAGAGATTATTTCAAGTTTTTTCTTCTTATTTCAATCTTTCAATATCTAATATGATCTCTACATTTATTTTTGTGCTTTGTTTGAATTACTGGATTGTGTAATTGTGTTTTGGTCTGTAGCCGAGTGCCACAACCTCTTGACACTGTCTGTATTTGTATGATAGTGGCAGTTATCTTTATCTTAGTTAACTCAAGTTCAAGTTAACTAGGAATAAGAAAATATGATTTTTATTTATATGATATTTTTTTATATTGCTGTAAATTAATGTAGAATGTACAATCTTTTTTTAAACTGGTAGTAGTTTTCCTGGAATCACAAGTGGCAGTTATTATTCAAAACCGAATGTTTATCTACAAGATCTGAATTCTTAGAAAAGTAAAAGACCATCTTGTTTTGACAGAGGCAAACCTATTGGTGATTAATGGCCAGCTGTCACATGGAACACGAGGGGAGGGTCTAAAGGACCCTAAAGAGAAAGTGGTTATAAACATGAACATGCCCAGAGATTACAACCAGTTATCTGTGAGTATGTCAGTTGCTCATTTTTTGAACATGACCACGATGCCTGACATGAGCACATGATCGCTTTGAGTCATCTTACATTTTAAAATGACTTTAAAGCATTTGGAAACGTTTAGGGATCAACTGAGTAAAGAGTGCCATGGAAAAGCTAGAAGAAAGCAAATATTCATTGAGCAGAATGAAAGGAGGTGAGTACAAAAACTAAACCTAGTCAATGACAGTCACATGCAGATACAAAGGTTTTTGCGCAAAACAAATATTGAATGTAGACACACTATGCATTCAGAGTCTACCAATGTTTGAAATATAATTTATTGATCCCAAGCTGCATTTACAATTCATTTTTAATGATTTTTTAAATAGTGCCAATGAATTCATGAGAACTATTCTGAGGATTTGGGACAAAACAAACATACTCAAACAAATTATATTTAATTTTTAGCATATTTTAATTAGAAGAAAAACATAAAATGCTGAAATTGGGAAGGAAATGGGTATTTTAAAATAATTAAATGTAGTTATTGTCTTTCTGGTGGCATGCAAAATCATTGCTATAATGTCTTTTACATAGTGTGTTTGCAAATTACAAAAATATTCAGATAATTCCCAAACAGCAAATCGGCCATTTGCAAAAAGGCACTATGAAACAGTTATAAAGAAATGTTGACAATTATTTGCATACCACCAGATAGTCCATAACTTTATTTAATTAACCAAAAACTAAAGCTAGTCAATGGGAAATGCAAATATTTTTGTACAAAACAAATATTGTGAGTAGACACTTTATACATCCTGAGTCTGCTATGTGGAAAGATATAGCAAATAACTGAATGAATAAGACATTGTTTGAAATATCATTCATTGCTTATTACATTGAAGCTGAATTAACAATGAATGATTTTTGCGAATAGTGCCAGTACATTCTTCAGAACTAACCTGTGAAACTGGGACCAAATGCACATATTAAAACTATTTCAATTTCGTTTTTAACTAATTTGTCTGATTTTAATCGGTAGACAACAATGGTTAAAAAGGAAGGGAAACAAGCATTATAAGTCAAATATATAGAAATCCTTCTGTTAGTGTGCCTTTTTCATAGTGCCTTTTTGCAAATGTGTAAAATATTCAGCTAATACTCAAACAACAAACCAGCAATTTGACATGCAACAGGTCACTGGGATGGCACAATTGCCTGTATGTTCATTCTCCTTACTAGAGGAGAAGGAAATTGGAACAATTCAGACACCATTTTGCACAAATTATTCCTTTTAGTTTTTTACATTAGACTGGAATTTCTTTACAGATGACCGTGATTTTACCTTGGTTCTATGCCACCCAATATTTTCTTTGACCAAAAATGGATCCGTGTATCTGCATTTCAGAGATAAAGTGAAGTGGGACCGACATGAAAATGAAGATCTCCTCTGCAGTGATACCACCTATGTAATGTATCCTTACAGATATGTTTGGGCATTGAACAATGGACTACTATTACAAACCTAGGCTCAAACATGCTTTTCAGCGATCCATGTGGAGAATGGGTAATTCTAAGGTAATGTTTCAAGCATTTCGAGGCATCAGATTTGTTAGTTTTTACATTGTACTACAATGTGTCATATTTGTTGTATTGATGGTAGTTAGATATGTTTTGAAGAATGTTAAGAGATTATTTCAAGTTTTTTCTTCTTATTTCAATCTTTCAATATCTAATATGATCTCTACATTTATTTTTGTGCTTTGTTTGAATTACTGGATTGTGTAATTGTGTTTTGGTCTGTAGCCGAGTGCCACAACCTCTTGACACTGTCTGTATTTGTATGATAGTGGCAGTTATCTTTATCTTAGTTAACTCAAGTTCAAGTTAACTAGGAATAAGAAAATATGATTTTTATTTATATGATATTTTTTTATATTGCTGTAAATTAATGTAGAATGTACAATCTTTTTTTAAACTGGTAGTAGTTTTCCTGGAATCACAAGTGGCAGTTATTATTCAAAACCGAATGTTTATCTACAAGATCTGAATTCTTAGAAAAGTACTTGTTTTGATTGTTTTGACAGAGGCAAACCTATTGGTGATTAATGGCCAGCTGTCACATGGAACACGAGTAAAGGACCCAAAGGACCCTAAAGAGAAAGTGGTTATAAACATGAACATGCCCAGAGATTACAACCAGTTATCTGTGAGTATGTCAGTTGCTCATTTTTTGAACATGACCACGATGCCTGACATGAGCACATGATCGCTTTGAGTCATCTTACATTTTAAAATGACTTTAAAGCATTTGGAAACGTTTAGGGATCAACTGAGTAAAGAGTGCCATGGAAAAGCTAGAAGAAAGCAAATATTCATTGAGCAGAATGAAAGGAGGTGAGTACAAAAACTAAACCTAGTCAATGACAGTCACATGCAGATACAAAGGTTTTTGCGCAAAACAAATACTGAATGTAGACACACTGTGCATTCAGAGTCTACCAATGTTTGAAATATAATTTATTGATCCCAAGCTGCATTTTTCAATTCATTTTTAATGATTTTTTAAATAGTGCCAATGAATTCATGAGAACTATTCTGAGGATTTGGGACAAAACAAACATACTCAAACAAATTATATTTAATTTTTAGCATATTTTAATTAGAAGAAAAACATAAAATGCTGAAATTGGGAAGGAAATGGGTATTTTAAAATAATTAAATGTAGTTATTGTCTTTCTGGTGGCATGCAAAATCATTGCTATAATGTCTTTTACATAGTGTGTTTGCAAATTACAAAAATATTCAGATAATTCCCAAACAGCAAATCGGCCATTTGCAAAAAGGCACTATGAAACAGTTATAAAGAAATGTTGACAATTATTTGCATACCACCAGATAGTCCATAACTTTATTTAATTAACCAAAAACTAAAGCTAGTCAATGGGAAATGCAAATATTTTTGTACAAAACAAATATTGTGAGTAGACACTTTATACATCCTGAGTCTGCTATGTGGAAAGATATAGCAAATAACTGAATGAATAAGACATTGTTTGAAATATCATTCATTGCTTATTACATTGAAGCTGAATTAACAATGAATGATTTTTGCGAATAGTGCCAGTACATTCTTCAGAACTAACCTGTGAAACTGGGACCAAATGCACATATTAAAACTATTTCAATTTCGTTTTTAACTAATTTGTCTGATTTTAATCGGTAGACAACAATGGTTAAAAAGGAAGGGAAACAAGCATTATAAGTCAAATATATAGAAATCCTTCTGTTAGTGTGCCTTTTTCATAGTGCCTTTTTGCAAATGTGTAAAATATTCAGCTAATACTCAAACAACAAACCAGCAATTTG